TAATTTTTTTTTTTTTTCAGTTACTAGGTGCAGCACTTGTTAAAGAAGCCTTTAATCCAGACTGCCTTCTCCCAACCGTAAAACATGGCGGGGGTTCTGGTGATCTGGGGTGCTATTTCTTGGAAATCCGCCGGGCCAATGATTTCCCTTCATGGAAGAATTAACAGCCGAGACTATTTAGGAATTTTGGGCGACCAAGTTTATCCTATGGTTCAAGCACTGTTTCCGGAGGGGAACGCCATCTTTCAAGATGATAATGCCCCAATCCATACAGCTAGAATTGTTAAAGAATGGCACGAGGAACATTCTAATGAAGTTGAGCATCTCATCTGGCCACCACAATCCCCAGACCTCAACATTATTGAGCATTTATGGTCGATTTTAGAGATTCAAGTAAGAAGTCAATTTCCGCCGCCATCGTCTCTAAAAGAACTGGTGGGTGTTTTAACTGAAGAGTGGGCTAAAATTCCTTTGGAAACAATTCACAATTTGTATGAATCAATACCTTGGAGAATTGAGGCTGTAATTGCCTCAAAAGGTGGACCTACACCACATTAAAATATATTTTGTTGATTTTCCAAGGTGTTTCCATTATTTCCATTACTTTGAGACATAATGTTGACATTATTTCCTCAAGCTACAAGTCCATATTTTGACTCTGTCTAAAAGATGCAATATTTAGGAGAGTCAAAATAGTTTCTTTTCAAGTCCAAAAGTAATCTGGAATGATAAAAGGTTTATTCTAAAAATTTAAGATTTTTTTGGTTGATTAGTCATTTCTTTTCATTACTGTTATAGATAATTTGATATTTATTTCTTAGTCTATGAAAGAATATTTTAATTTTTTTGAAAACATAATTTGGATTATGTTACTGCAGTTTTTATATTAATCACCATTAGTTTTCACAAAATACATGTCTAAAAGCTGTAATATTTAGGAGAGTCAAAATAGGGATTTGCAGCTTGAGGAAATAATGTCAACACAATGTCTCAAAGCTTGTTTTTGTATTTTTTTAAGGACCCCTATTCGCCCCCTTTCTAAATGAACAATTTTTAACAATCTTGTTTTAAAACAAGTTTAAATGTGTTCTGTACATAAACAGCCTTAAAGCTAATGCTACAAATTCATGATTTATTTTACTACCCAGAGAATTTAATTGCCAAGTAGTAAAAATATAGTGGAAAATATATTTAGGATAATTAAATACACTAGTTTAGTTTGATTTGTTTGTTTGTGTTTAAGAAATTTTGCATAAAACTACACAAAGTGCTATCTGTGAATAGCTGTCCCTAATTTTGAACTGATATACTAGTGGGAAGCCAAGCCAGTCAAAATTACCCACTAAAACTTTTAGGCTACTCTTGTATGACTGAATAGTGAAATATGACTGTCACTCTTACATTTCATTTATGACTCCAAAGTGAGGAGCTTGTTTTCATGGCAACAGGCCATGAACTGTGAATCCTCAGGTACATGACAACTAATAGACTGTACCAAGCCAATTGATTTTGAATGTATAACTTTATTGCTTTATCAGTAATAACTGATGTATCATTATACTATAGTTTAAATAGTGTTACAATTTTATGTGAGCTTCATTTTGTTTAAAATTCTCTGGGAGTTACTTTCTTGCATATTCAAACATATTTAGATCAATTTTTACATTCAGTACAATTTTTCATAGTAATTGTTTTTTTCTAATAATTATCACCATACCTTATAAAATTTTGTATTTCCCTTGAGCATAAGGTGTGCCCACATGAAGCATTGTTAAGTAAACAGCCTCAAACCTCTCCCTATTGAATATTTGGGGTCACTGTCCAATGGGTAAATAGAGATTTTCGACCAGACAGTGGCAGTATTTGCTCAGGTTTAAGGAATTAATTCAATTAAAGTACCATCTTCAGTCTCAATAAAAATAATCATTGCATTATGAACTCGGTTTTACTTAGTTACTTTTGACAGCTTTGACCCAGCTTCAACATAATGGTTAGAAGATCCACTGTGTCCAACATAAACTAAAATATTTTGTTTCATTCAATAAATAACATTCTTAATTCACAGAAATAAGACTTCCAATACCTAAATTGTGATTCCTTATTTTCTAATCCTACACTTTTGAATATACAATCACATACATTTTCTTCTTTTTGTGCCATATAGTTATTGTAAAGTATGCAGGTTACACCTTTTTCACATAGTTTTTTTCTTCTCTTGAGTGTTCCCTCAAATATTAGTTAACTCTGAACAAGTAGGCATATTTTGGTAGAAATGTCTTGATACTTTTGAACAAAAGATTTATATCAGTTATAAAAAAATCCTTTGTAAAATGAAATGGTCATTTTTTCGTGATTTTGCATTTTGAGTAAAATAATAAATTTAACTGACATGTAGTGCAATGGTAATGATTCTTAGACAAATATGTTTTAGTAATTCTGACAGAAAATGAAACAAACTTATATAGCTTGTTTTCACCACTAATTACATTAATGTTTGTGATAAGTAAAGAAGTTAGCAATATGTACTATTTTGATACTCAGAAGTTGCCTTTGTAATGAAAAGCTCTAACTCCTCATAAGAGATTTTTTCACACTTATAATACACCACCTTGAGTGGGAGCGTTTTGTTCCTTTTGTATGGGTGGAAGAAGTCACCGTTGTGGTTATTACACTTGTGTCTGTGCCTGCCATTCCTTTTGAATTAGCTTGACCCTGGGATGTGACACTCAAATTACAATGAGAAGTTTTGTCTCTGTCCTTGGTTTTTTTAACCTTGACACAGGAGTTGATGTCTGGTGGAAGAGCTGCAAGAAGAAAAGTATATATTACTTTCTAATAAGTTGTAGAATCAAAACTAGTCTTGAAACAAAAATACTTAACTGGCTTTATTAGTAAAGAAAATATGTTATAGAGCTTGAAGAAACAGTTACATAACCAAACATCATTTTCAGTATTAAAGGTCATGCAATAGTATAAGTAAATTATACAGACTAGCTTCAGTGATACTTACCATTTTGTATGGGAGATTGGGTTGTATCATTTGGTAAGGATGTCCTACTTCCGAGTGTTGAATTAGTAATGGACTGAGGGCTGGACTGGAATTAAAAACAAACACTAATCTAATTATCCTCTAGCTACAAATTTAGTGTCTAATTTCTTTAAACTAATGCTAAAATGACTTATAATATTTTGCAAAAACCTCTATTTAAATAAATAAAAAATTTAAAAAAACGCTGAAGCCAACAAACTAAAATATAATGCATAATTGTGGAATTCAACTTTGAAAATTATTTAAATTTTCTACACATAATCTGTATAAAGAAATAGGGCAAGAAGTGTGAAAAATCAGATTTAGTTTAAAATATTTTTGAATTTAAAGAAGTAACCATTAATATAAAAGTACTTCTATTAATCCACCTTAATTTATTTTGTTTTTATCACTAAGGTTGCAAATAAGCAGGATAGAATAGGGCATTATATGAAAGTACTTATGATTTTAAATCTGAAAGGAACCCAAAATACTTCATGCACAAATTCAGATATCCTGTAATATTTTTTCTTGGAATATGATTTTACTGGTATACAAACATAAATCAAAATAAGATGTTTACACATCATCACACTTTCAATGATCTTACAGATGTACAAATTGAAATTATGTATTATGGCAGTAAACTTCTACTTAAAAAAAAATAATTTAAAATGCACTACATGATAAGACTAGAGATAGTGTCAGTCATGATACAATATAGCACATTATAATATGGTGAGAGGTTTTTGAGCGAGTAAGGTGTCATCGTACTAAATGGCAATTTAACATTTTTCTTCATTGCTCAATGCAGTTGGTAGCTTCATGCATTCTGTCAAAAAATCTATAAAGTCAGCAGTAAGTAATAGTCTGATCATGATAAAAAAGGTGCAAACAAAACATGTAGCTACATTGTCTGACATAGTTTTTTTTTCATAGCACTGGTTTTTGAATTAATGATCAAGAAATCTGACATTTATATTCAGCCTCGATGAACAGTCTAATCATTATTGAGTAACAAGTAACAGCAGATGTTCATAGGCTCTTAAAGAGATGTAATATCCTATACAAATGAAAGAAACAAGGCCTAGTTTCCTCAAGCCAGTCCAACACATGTATCTCATTAAATGGTATTAAAAACAATTCTTTGAAAAAAAATGGTTTGTTAATAGTTAAGTACAAAACTACACAATTGGCTATCTCTGCTGTGCCCATCAAGGGTAATAAAATCTGGTTTTTAGCATTAGAAGCCTTCAGACTTACTGCTATGCCACTGGGGAGAAATTTGAAACAAGAAACTATTTTTTAACACATTAACTTTGGAGAGACAATTTACTTATATGGCCATCTATTTATTATCTTCAATGAGCTAATTTTTACCACTGAAATGAAGCAACAGACAGCAGGATAAATCATTTTAATAAAAAAAAATTAAATTCAAATATTTGTCAAACAGTTAAATGCTTTTGTAACTGTCTTGCATAAAATAATTACAGAAGTAGAAATAACTTGTAGCAATATAAAAATTTTAAAATAAGTCATTCATCACCTTTTTATTTAAAAAGAGGGAATCCATGGCATTTGAAATTCTTTTATTATTAATTAGAGTAAATTAATCTAAGATCTTTTTTTCCTTTTTATTAGCTATACTTTTGTGCACCAGTAATACCATGCATGGGGTGCACATATACCCGATTCAATTTTATTATTCATCAGGATCCCTACCAGCCTACCCTCAAATTGAAAATCTTATAGGCAGGATTAGAATAAATTAATATATGAAACCTTGGGTGTGGTCAAATACATCAATCGAAAGGGTTTGACCTCTTGATTCCAAAACTGTAATTAGATCTCAAATTGGTCAAGCTATGATCTAAAAGTTTGTACTTGAAAAAAAGAAAACAACAAAAAACTCAGAGCCATTCTATGAGCTGCTATGCTGCAGCTAAAAATTCTAAATTGAAATAAATTTATCTTTCTATTACACATACTTTGGTCAAAGATGTTTAGGGGCTAATGATCTTTAAATCTTGGTAGGCAAGTGAAAAAATTATCAGAGCAATTAATTTTTTTTCTCATTGGCTTAAACCCACAGGAAGAATCAATACATCCCCATATCAATATTTCTTTAGGGAGCAGCACTTATCTCAAATTTCTGGAGTTTATCATCAGGCTTTACAAACACTTAAAACAATACTGCTACTATTTCTATATTCTTAGCAGAGATCTATTATTATTCAAAAAACTTTCAGCACTCACTCCATGGGGCTTCAAGAGGTGCAAGCCCTGAGATAGTCCCGGGATATGCGTGTGTTACAGGCCCCATTAGTCCATTGGAATGTCCACTAGCTCCTGGAAGGTTTAAGACTGAGTTATTCAGTGGGCCAGCAGGTGGTAACCCATGGAAACCAATACCTTCTGCATGGTTTCTTAAAATATTGACAGCATCATCTAGTCGCTCCTCCATAACTCCTCTTGTCTGATTAAAATAAAACCATATTAGATCTTGTTATTATGATAATAATCTTTAAATTATATAAATTCCAAATATATTATACTAATATACCTACAAATTGCAAAAATGATACTTTCTGTTGAATCAACAAAACTAATTGTTCTCTTTAACAAATCTTATATCTTGAAACCTAATGAATCCTATAATTTTGAAAATGATTCTTTGGGCACTAGTAAAACTTGGTCTTTTTTTTGACAAGTAAGTCACTTTATAGTAATAAAAACTGTTATATTACTTCAGGCTACAAATTATTACTATGTTGTGAGCAATTTATACACATACATTTATTATATATGTCCATGCAGCAGTAATCATGTACATTTGGATTATATCTATCTTTGGAGTGGTCAAAATGCATATTTTCATTATCCATGGAGCACTAATCATGCATACTTAAATTATATTAAAATATATATTTCCAAGGTAATTAATTATTCATGCAAAGTAAATATTTTCTAGTATAGTTATCCTTCTCCGAGGTATAAATGAGCATATTTGAGTTATATTTATCAACTAGCACAAGACACCATATTTTCATTATACTTACTAATGGAGTTTTAAACATGCATATTTTCATCCATTTAAAAATAAATATCAAGTCTACTAAGGAAGACTAAGGAGCTGGCAATTTGTTATAAATGAATTTGTTGTTTGAAATATTATAAAAAGATTATGCCATTATAGGTGGGTATTTTATTACGTAGGATCATGTCCATCTGATCATGATTCAGCTAGCTAAGCAGCAGATTAAATGTAGCATTAAAGGAATAGGAAGCTTCTAGAAGTTGGTTATTACCTCAACCTGATCTCTACTGTACAACAGGACTTGAATGGCATCCTCAAGCGTTTCTTCTTCTCTACTATGCTACAGATTACAGATAATTGAATATCAAAACAAAAGAGGCATGCATCCACAGGCAAGTGTAAGAAAAACCATGCAATTTCTATTTTTTATTACAAAACATTAATCTTATTGGCAACATAAATAACATATAGTCAGCAAACAAGAAGCAAAACTGAATGAAAATGTACTTGTAAAAAAACGAAATTGCACAGACTTATTCTTTTCTTGTGTGTAAATCCATTGGAAAACTTAGTGAATCATGATTATCATGATCAAAGAAAACAAATAAACATATACAAATATGTGTACAGCTAAAAGAAAAGGTAAAGCATAAGTTTATCTAAACACAAACTTTCAAAGAGAAAGTAAAGAAATTTTAGTCGAGGAAAAAACAAATTGCTAAAGTTCCAATGTAACTATAGAAATCAAACTACAAAGCAGGTGTGGTATATGCTTCATAATAAATACAGCTTGATTGATTGTTTGTTTGTTAACCACAAATCTACACAGTGAACAGTCTGTGCTGTGCCTACCACAGGCATTGAAAGTAGCGTTATAATCCCTCAGACTTACCTCTGAGTCACTGAGGAGTGATACAGTTCAAATAAGCCAATTAAGCACATTCCTATCAACTACATATGCAATCTACCAATAATTTACAAGAATTACCTTAAATTTATATTTAATAGATAAAATCCCTATATTTGCCTGGTATTTTACTAGAGCAATAAATTATTAGGTAATTTCATTTTGTCCTGTATAAAACTTTTAAATACAATTTCTTCTAACCACCGCTGTCAATTCCACATTTTAAAAAATACTTTTTTTCTTTTCTACTGTAATATAAAAATCCAAAACGTTTTTGTTCTGCTATCATGTGGAAGGGAAATATTACATCCAACAAATGAAATCTGATAGGCATGTAACTTGCAATAACAAAAAACTAAGTTCTTTCAAAATTCTGAATAGGTAAAAATAACAACTAGAAAATAACAAAGATTACAGAAAAAAAATATATATTTTCAACCTTATACATCTTGCACAAACCTCAAAAATCAACTGAAAATAATGTGAGCAATGTGTTTTACCAAACTGTTGTCACTACCTAACAATGAAAGTTGCTTAGCCAATATGTTAACCACTCAACATTTGTCCTATAAAGTGATTTTAATCATTTGTTTTCATTTTCAGATTTTATCTTCTTGTAACTGAATCTATTTGCCATTCATGCTAGTAGCAAAATCAAAAATAGGTATGTCACTTCCAGCAGTAAGTCCTTTACATTAATTAAAAAAACAGTAACTGGCACATACCAACTGGTGCATGGTACTGTCAGGGTATGATGAAGGAGGGAGGTTCTGAGAGCTATTTCCACGAGACCACTGTGGCACACCTAGGAAAAGCTAGGTATTTTTTTTAATGCACCTAATATATTTCTATTCTTATAAATAACATAGACGTGATCTTGTAGATTTAATCATTTAATAACAATTAATAAAAATGCAGGTATAAACAGAAAAAATATTCTTATTCAAGAATAATGAATAAAGTATTTTGGTTAGGAATTAATTGAATATTGCTTATGTGCAAGAAATTTTACAAATGAAGAATTAAACAATTATGCTGACAACACAATGTGGGCAAATTTAGCAAAGAGTAATGATAAAGACTCAAATTTCCATACTTTAAAATATTTTTTTTGTAGAATTTTGGTGAAAAATTAACAAATTTTAATAAGAACAAAAAATACTTCAGTGTAAGCTCCATAAAAGTTTAAAACATGTACTATGTAAAATAGTATTCACTAGGTTTGAAAAGAATTACCAATCATTTCTTGTCTAAGAGGAAGTTTTCACTCTAATTTTGTGAAATTACTAACATTTGCTGGATAAGATGTAAGGTTACTTAGATTTAGAAGGAATTAACTACATGTTCAGTACATCATTCATTGTTTTATCTAAGCTGGAAGAATTATTAATATTAATTTTTGATCAGTGCAAGCTACTTACATAACTTAAAACTAAAAATCAACCTGTTAATGAGTATAGCTAATTAAGTATGCTATTCTTACTTATAAAGATTAGTATGCATTGTTTCCTCATTTGTGTATCCTCCTCACTGTTAGTGATATTTTCAACTGTAAACTCTATAATATCTCATGAAGTTCAGCCAGTTTTGTTTCAGACTTATGTTATTCCTAAATCCATATACCAGGCTAACAAGTTGCAAAATAATCTCTATGATAAACTAATAACAACAAAAGATCAAAAACAATAAAAATAGATATATTAAACATTCAAACCAATAATGATCACAAAAGTAACATTAACGAAAGAATAAAGTATACTATATTTACAGATCATGTAAACACTAGTTTTTAGCTTTGTGTACCATCAAAGTAATAACGAGTATGAGGAAATTTAATGAAGAATGTGATACAGACATACCTGAGAGTGGTGGTGGTGAATTAACAGGTGTACATGGGGTAGATGAGAAGCTACTACTCGTATGTTCGGCTGAGTAGATCTGAAAGATAGTTTCAATGACACACCAAATCTATTCTGTTTAATTTCACCATGTATATAATACACGCAAAGTTTGGCTACTGTAAGAATATTAAACAAAACTTTTATAAAACTATGTAACAAATTATAATAAACTAAACTAGTTTTGGAACAGTGTGATTTTGTCTTGGTACATATCAAAGGGGCCAACTAAGCTTAACTTGGGCATTTTTATTTATAAAATTGATCTAAGTTACATAATCATATCACAGAAAATAACATTTGTTTCTTCCTTGAAGTTAAAGCTTATAAGTTTATTAAACAATATTAAGTTATAAAATGTTCTTTATATCATTTAATGTAATAGTTACCTCCGAGTAACACACGAGAAAGTCCTTCTACAAATATGTTAAGAGTCAAGAAATCCTTCAAATAAATCGATTACAATCAAAGCATAAATGTTGACTGGTATTTATATTACCTGGAACCAAAGACAATGTTTAAGATTTTGCATCAACCCCTTTTGACTCTTATCTAGATATGTGTGTCACCGTATTTCTCAGAGTAAAAGTACAATTCAGATTAATTAGTGGAGTCCTTTTTCTGGTACACGTTATGTGTAAAAAGTCAACTTACTGAAGCCAGAGCTTTTCCAAGTGCATCTTCTGTTTGGTTTGATAACTGTACTCCCCTAGCTGCTAATGGGTCTGGTGAGGAAGTGTTGTTCTGGCTGTAAGTTGTTGAATGTGTTTCTATTGGGGTGTGACTGGGTGTACCCCGAAAACTGGACATGGGCGGAAGACTTTGTGAAACAACTGATGGATCACCATCAGGTAAAACATTAGGATACCCCTAAATATAGTTAAATATTTAAATTTTAGGACAATACTTGATTCTCAAACAGTTTATCATTTAAATGAAATCCTAACAATCAAGAAAACAGAGATTAGATAAAAAAAATATATAAAGTTTATAGATGAATTAGTAACTATTAATTTGAAAAGCTTTCTATTTTGTAACCTATTCCATTCTTTCCAATAAAGTGGACCAAAAAAAAGTTTCTGCTTGTGTGAATCAAGATAAAAGTATTTTGAAACAAATGCTAAGTGCGGTAAAACACACACTCTCACCATACTGTCTGATGGAAGATGGATACCGTTAAAGGCTGACGAAGATGGGGAAGAGAGATGAGAGTTGCCATTTGTCGTCACTGAAGGTGTGTAAGAGTATGAAGATGATGGTAAGTTGGGAATGGATGACCAGGGGTCAACAAGATTGTGAGACTCATCTAAAAAAACAAACAAAAACATTACACTAAAAACCTATTTTAAACTCTTTATGTGGAAATCAGTGAAAATTACACAACTTTTACAAACATAATGTAACAGAAATTATAATAAACTCAAGAACTTTTAGCTCATTCATGTTACCAACATTAATCATTTGTTATTAAACTAAGTTTAATCAATCAAATTTGACATTGGTTAATAGTGCTGATTATTTATTATATCCTGGTTAACAGCATTAACCACATTTCAATTAACAACATCAACATTTCATTTCCTTAAAAACAATTCTACATTTTGATACTTAATAAAAGATTCTCTTGAAGTACCATAAATTTAGCTATAATATTTTGCTTTTTTATCATCAAATATCCACATCTTTTTTATCCACATCTCAATCAGAATTAACACTACTCTATTCTCCAACTTATACATTATCAGTTCAATTGACTCAACCTTATCCCTAATACCTCTTAATTTATGTGTAATAATTTTAAATAATTACTAATACTATAAATCAATAATAAAAAAGTCTCATTTTTTGTTTCACCTAAGCAAATTGTAGCCTTTTTAATTTGGTTTGAGAAGCATATCCATATTCATTTTCCATTTCATTCTATCAATTTATTTAAATCCTCTTCATTACCTATTTTCAATATTTTGGTCCTTTCTGACTTTCTCATAAAAAATTTTCCTTCTTTTACCCACACAAATTTAAAAATTTACATCTTTTAAAAAAATGTTTTGCTTTATATAATAACTGTTGTAATGTGGATGTTAGATGTTCATTCAAATAAAGTTTACCTCTTTCACACTTTTAATTTATGTCAGTACTTCTTATACTAAAATGTTTATTTGCCATCAACCAGTTATTTCTTATTATTTCTGAATTATCTTTTACTATTATAGGTTTCATTCTATCTGTTAACACATGGTACTTTATGCACGGTTTGTATATCACCTTCACCAATTCTTATTTGAATTGTATCCGCAATTTTTTTAACATATCTAATGTATATTTTCTCCTAGTTCTTCTGGTACTCCAATTATTTTCAAATTTTGATTCTCTGAGTATTGATTTAATTCACAAACTGTCTCTTTTGTAAAATCATATTGCAGTAAAATATTATAAATACATAAAACTAACATATTTCAACTACACAACAATTTGTTTTGTTTAAGTGCAAATCTACACAATGAAATATCTGCACTGTGCATACTATAGGGTTAAGCTGTAAATTTTATCATTGTAAACCCTCAAGCTTATCACTGAGCCACTGAAAGGCAATAAAGAACAAACTATTAATACAACTACATATATATTCAATAACATGGTCACTTTATTATCAGCTAAGGAATTAAAAAGTATCGCTTATGACAGATGGAAAAGAAGGTAAAGTCAGAAATAAGTATAAGACACAAAACTTTTGGGTTATTTCGTATATTATTTCTACTTAAATTAATGTGTATAAACACTATTAATAGTACTAGACATCATCAAAAACAAACATCATTACCAGTAGTTTGGAGTGTGAATTAAGTTCAACATAAGACTGTTTATATTAAAGTTAATGAAACATAATTTAGTAAGACTTGCTTAACTTTATTCCAAACTAGGCATTCTCAATGTAACTTTACCAAAAAAAATGGAATTAAAACATAAATAGATTTATTTTAGCAACGTTTAAATCAAGGGCCCTTCATCAGACTTTACTAATACATCAACTATACAAAGAAGATAAACCGTCCATCTGTCATGTCGATATCTCAGCGATCGTGGTACAGATCGACACACAACTTGCACAAAACAACAGTACTTTCTGCCATGACAAGCAAGTTTGTCTTTTTAAAATTCTTCCAGCCGTGTATATATAAAACAAAAGATGTGCTACTTTGGACATATAATTAGATTTAAGAGTAGGATGGTAAATCATAATCACTGGCTGAAATTCCCCCTTACATTTGCTTGGTTGTCATGGGGACACAATGATGCAACATCATCAAATTTTGTCCAATTGGAACCCTTGGCTACAACTCTATAATAACCCACATGTTTTACCTGCAGCACAATTCAATTTTGAAAATGCCAAAGTTAAAGAGCACTTCTTCTGCTCAGCAGGCTATCAAAGCCAAAACCAAGAAGACAGTCCAAAGAGAAGACCCCAAAATTCATAATAAAATTCTCTGCCTTTACCATCACAGTTAATAATTTGCAGGATTATACAGTTGATCAAGTAGGAATATGTGCATGTTTCAATTTAAAAGGATTTATCAAGAAGAAGAACATTTGAACATAAAAATATACAGAATTCAAAATACTAATCAAGCAATACTTAAAGGAGATGATTAAAGAAACATAAAAAATAGCTGATTTCATGAAATACAAGAAATAAGGTAGTCATTCTCCATTACTAGATCATAATTAATTTTTAGAAAACATGTTTATAAAACATTTATTTAGACATAATTTTGAGTAGAAAAATTAATCATTATTTCCTGTCATATGACGGGCATTCAGCTTGTTACTGATAAGTTCAAAAGAACACATGCACCAGTAATGTGCCTTGACAATAAGCAATGGGATAAAAACAAGATGAGATGAAACAATACAAATCACAGCAATTATGATATCCAATAGTATTAGTAAGTTATAAGATTCAAGCAAAACAGTTCATTTGCTCAACTTATTGAATATTAAAATTATCTATTATTCTTAAAACAACTTAGTTACAAGTTTGTTAATCAATGAATTAATTAAAACATACAACTTATGCAAAGCTTGTTTTGAAGTTGAATGAATTTAATCAATAAATATGCTTACAATTTGAAAGAAAAACATGTAAATATTAAAAAACAAGAAAAAGGTTTTTTTACCACAGAAAGCCGTTGTTGTTGTTGTTTGAAGTTAAGCACAAAGCTACACAATGGGCTATCTGTGCTCTGCCCACCACGGATATCGAAACCCAGTTCCTAGCGGTGTAAGTCCGCAGATACACCGCTGTGCCACTGGGGGGCTCACATAAAGCAAAGTATTTCTTTTATTCCATAAGCTTGTTTACTTGTGTTCAATTCATTCCCTTTACATTCCATCTGGTGGCATGTTTTAATACAAACAAGTCAGGGTTACTATTTTATATTTAACTTAAATATTCACAGAATCAACCTTCTAGTTTGTGTGAACTTTCAATGTGTAGCTTGTTACATCTGGAGTAAAGTATGCAATAGAAAATGCAGGTAGATGTGTAACACAGTTCCTGCTGAATATGAAAAGACTGATTTAGGCCCAGTTATAGAGGTTCTACTTGAGTTGAGTACTAGGTGACAATCCCAGGGGTTGTGTGCCTTGTGAAAAGAAAGTTCCTAGAAGCAATAGAGTTGTGACACATTTAGGTCAGCCATATCATTACTGCCTGTAGGATGTAATGTACTAATTTGTTTATTTGTTTCCAATTTGCAATACATTAATATATATATATATATATATTTTCTTTTTAAGTTACAGTATGAATGTCTTAATCTGCCTATTATACATAGATTCTAATAATTACAAACTACACCAGTTAGTTCACTACACACAGTTAGATTTTTGACTTTGAACTTTCATAGTTTGTTAAGAACTTTAATGTTTTAGATTCAAACAGGAATTTACATAATCAGAATTGTTGAAAAATAATTTTAAATTTTACCAAAGATTTCAGATATCTGTTTCCTTCTAGGATGTGACTTACTAAAACAAAACAAGCAAAGACTTTTTTAAACAATACAAAAATTTGTATATCTAATAAAATGTATAGCTTTCCATCAGAGTATAGTTTCTTGTGACTTCATTTAATAAACTTGGATTCCAAAATATTTAACAAAGATGAGGTACTCTGACTGACCACTTTATTAGAGCTCCCTCCTAATAATGAGTTGTACTAACTATTGCCATAAAAAATAGCCTGAACTAAGTCAGCATATCAAAGACTCCACAAGATGATGGAAGAAAAATATCTGCAGAAGTTAAGATGACAAGTGTATACTTATATTTATCTTAAAGATGCTCAAGTGGATTGAAATCTGGTGATTATGCTAGCCAAGGAAAATAAATGAAGCCACTGCTATGCTCTTCAAACTACTTTCAAACAATGTAAGCATATTGATTTGTTAACATTATCATCCTGTTACAGGATCCTGTTATATTCATGATGTCAGAAAAACACATATGTTCAAGAAGTCTTGATACAAAATGTAAAAACCCTATAACCCAAACACTTTCGAAAGGTGGAACTTTCTTTTTCAGGGGCAAACTAAGAATGGTGGTGTAATCGAATGATTGATATATAAAAGGAGTTGAATGACATCATGTGGTCTTCCAGGAAATATTTAGTATATTTTTCCATGTAAGTGTGTTTCATTTCTGTTACAATGTGGCTGGTGACAAGAGCATTATCTAAAAAGGTGTTAGAGATATTTTGCTTTAGAAATGGTTAAAAAAAGAAATAAATAAAACTAAATTTAAGTGTTTAAGAAAAATAAAGTAGTTCAATATCTAGGTGTACCAATTTTTTGTAACACATAGTTTTGAATTACAGAAGAAACTAATTGCTGTGGAGACTTTAGTTGTTATGATAATATTGTTTTTACTGTTGTAGATTACCATTTAACTTATTTTTATATTAAGAGTATCTAAACTTAAATTTTTTTTTACCACAGCAATTAGTTTCTTCTATAATTCAAAACTATGTGTTACAAAAAATTGTAAATATTGAACTACTATTCCTTTTTTTTTACATTATTTACAATAATAGTTTAGATATAGTATTATTCATTAATATCCACTGCTGTTAGTTTTTTCTGGTTAGTTTTTCTATGAATATTCCAGTTTTACATACCCATGAAATAAGAGTCTCCATAGAGGCCTGATTTTGGTGTTGTATATCGACCACCTTGTTGGTTAAACCCATCTGTGGGAAAATTCTAGAAAGAGAAAATACAAATTACATTAACTTTCATGTTTAATGATTGAAGTAAAAAAATGATGTCCAGGCAAAGCAAGGAGTTGCTAGACTTTCCAAAAGTTAAGGTTAAAACTTATCACATGCTCTTCTTTATCTTTCTAAACTTGATTGCAGATATTAGTTTAAATTTCTAGTACATCACTATACTTTTTTTTGGGCTTTTAGCTTATCAAATCTACTGGTTCAGCTACATGAACAACCTCTTCCTCATTTGTTGTGTGTTCTGATGGGCTAAGTTGTCAACACTAAGATAAATCATACATAAAGATCTGTTGGTTTAAAGTAAGTGTAATATGCACTTAAAAACAAAGAAAACTAAAACTAGCTCTGCCAGATTCCTCAAAGTAAAGTAAATACTTACTGAGAGGAACTTTAAGCTCTTATATTTTTAAAAAGAGCAAGGCATGAATAAAACTTATAACATTACAAATTATTTTACAATACAATTTTATGCAAATTAGAGAGATACAGAGAATCCATGGCAAAAGAAAGAGGCAGAATCATAATAATATGCAACCTAGGATTATGCCAGAGTGTTCAATGACCAATACAGTGTAAATGAAAGTTAACAATTACACTTTAATACCTTTAGCTTTTATCTCATAAAAACTATGTAAGATACGTGAAAATATCTCATGGTTACATTAAGTGGTAATTAAGACCCTATAGGCCTAAAGTGTTATTTCATCATAGAGAAGACATACTGCTTCCGAATTAAGTTACATAACTGCCATTAACAAATTAATGTTTCCCCATATATTATATCTCATCCACAATCATAAACAAGTCACTGAATATTATGGTTATATTACAAATTTTGCGACCAGAGCTCAGGCACTGATAATCTTACTTGATCTATACATGATAACCTTTAAATCAAATTCCAAGATACACACTATACTAATTGTGAATTGAACATTTTTTTTTATTTTCTCGTCTGATACTTATTTCTTTTTCTAAATACCAAGCATTTTAGAAAGATCCTTTTTTTCACTGTCCCAATTGGTTATGTTTAAGTTTTTTATTACTGCTATCTTATCATTACATTGTCTTTGAATGTCTAAAACCAATTCTTACTTAAAAGTTTACATGATGAAAGATGGCAAATAAATAGAAACCTATAGACCTAAAATTAACAGAACATTTTTTTTTTCTGTATTCCTCTTGTAAAATAACAAAAAAAACTTCTGCAGTTAACAAGACTTTTATCCTAAGATTTGGGATTATTTCTTATTTACATTGTTATTGGTCATGTACAAACCAGTTTTGATATTTCAAATGTAAACTCTCTCTCTCTCTTTTACAAGTCTTTTATTTTTTGCTTTATAAGATTTGTAAACAAAAAAAATTATGAAACTATTTTAATTCTTCCAACCTATGCTTAGAGCAAAATAAAGAATCACACATTGTCAATAACCATTTACAAGAATTATGACAATAAAACATCATAGATGTGATAAAAAAAAAGCAGCATCAAGGATAAAGTAAGACATCTACATGGATCAGAACTACAATTCAATGCAGTAACAAAAATAGCTAATTAAATATATTGTTCTTACTTAAAATGATTAGAATGAAGTTTCATCAGCTGGGTGCCCTTATTGTTTTTTGGGCTGTAGTATTTTAATAACCCTCAAAAACACAATGTACTAGTAGCACTAAGAGTCCAAAATCTTATAATCATGTAATTATGTTGAGATCTTTACATGACAAAATATAAATAACAAAATCATGGTGTATTTGATTTAATTTTTTGTTTTCATAATACGTGCATGTTTGCAATATATCTATTATGATAAGTCTCAATATCAAGAGTAGATACATCATTACTCTGTAATATCATAACATTAAAACTGTGGCAAAATGTAAAGAATACTTTCAATTGGCAGTTTTTTGCATCACTAGAAACTTGTCCCTGATTCTTGATGGCAATCAGTTGCAATAATCCAGAACACTCTGCTACCAAGAATGTATAATGTTATTTTTATGTTTAAGAGTAACTTGTTAATTTAATATTTTCTTTTCACTGCAAAAAGCTCAGCATAATCCCAAACTATTTCTTCCTTCTAGCTCAAAGTTTTTATGTGTTCTGTTTTTGACTGAGTTCAAATCACATACTTTTATGATTACTTGAACTAAATTATGAAAGTAATTTGTATGTAACTGAGAAGAACTGTACAGCCTACAGCTACACTGAGTTTCCTGACCTCATACTTAGCCAAACTTTGCTAGAGGGCTGCATATCAGCAAAAATGTATGTGTGTGTGTGTACAGTGAAACTTTTATCTACCCTTGGGCTACTAAACCAATCTACTATTCTATTGTTACTTAGAAGGTATCACAGCAAAATTAAAAAGTAACTGAAAATGTAGCATGAGGAGCTAAAAGACTTTAGTGAATTGGTGTAACTCCTGAGAGGTAAGGTGGTATTTGATTTAAGGCAATATTGTATGTTATCAAAAATAGACTCAAAGTGGAAGGTAAATGTTAAAATAAAGTTTCAAAGGGCTTTATACTTTTTTTTATCACACTTTCATTTAAAACATGCAAATGCCACACATGATATATACTGTTAGCCAACACTTACTTACACAGTTTGTGTTAAGTTATTTTCACACATACAAACATAAGACTCCCAAAACCCATCTTTCATGTATGTTTCCAGGATTCTACACTTCATCCTTATATCCATGAATCTTTACACTCAAGGTTGGTAAAAACTACTTTGTAATTTTAACCAAATTATAAATCCAAGAAGTAGATACTGGAGAGAAAGAGTAATTACTCATGCCTCTCAATTTTTTATGACAAATGAATTTCAATTTGTGATCAAATCAAAATACTGCATGCTGTAACAATATTTTTTTATTAGGCTACTTCTTTAAAATTATTTGGTGAAATTAAGGGCAAGTCTAGTTCACATAGTGATAATAAATTAGTTTATTTCTTCCTTGATGTTACTACAAGCATGCACACTGTTGTAACTTATAGGCCTATGTTTACAGCTGACATTCAAAAGAAGATACCTAACTAATGGTACTACATCTAGCATAAAAGTAAAGTTATTTGTACAATTTTCAGCTAATTGATCAAGTAATTTAATATATGTGATAAGTAACACTTATCCAAATACTTCTCTGAATCTAAATACTTCATTGAATGACCAGCACTTTACCAACTGGAAACAAACGACTCAATGCTTCACTGATTCATCACTAACTAACTGACTGACACATTAGTATTTGTATCTGATGTCTCACATATAGATATTTGTTAAAATTAGATTTTCACAACATCATATTTAGAACCTTCTAGATATTCTAGTCCTATTTTTATAAACTTTGTGTTCTTAATGTCATGCATCCTCTAGCTAACATCCAAATCAAAGCATTGAAAATATAGTGCACAACAATACCAACACAGATTTGAACTAAAAATCAACCCAGTAATAAAAATAGCTAATTAAATATATAGTTCTTATGTTCTTACTTATAATGATTAGAATGCACTGTTTCATCAGCTGGGTAGCCTCATTATTTTTTCAGACTTAGTGTTCTGATAACCCTTAAAAATGCAGTGCACTACTAGTAGTGACATTTTATAATTCTTTAAAGATGTGATTAAAGCTATGTACACATGTTCTATGTGTGGCTGCACCATATATATATTATTTAATACTGCAATGCTCAATTACTTGAAAGTAGAAACTTAAAAATGGACAATACCTTCACAGAATTTGATTCTAGTCAAGTTAACTTCCCATACAGGAGAAAAGAATACAAAGATATAAGTTAATGTTATTCAATGAAAAGGAGTTTTAATGTTATACAGTATTAAGAACTGTATGCAAACAGAGAGCTTTAATGTTATTCAATATTAAGAACTGTATACAGACTTAAGTTCCATATTCTTGGACTTGTATTTTAAAGTAAATTTTCTCTTATTTTTTTTTAATATTTTATTTTAATCATCTGATAGGTCATATGGTTTTGGTAACCATTTCTATCTTAGTAAGATTATTACTTTAAAGGAAATTTCTACTAAAACTTGTCTCACACAGACACAAACAGTTTATCTGGTTCACATTATATGTAGTAAGGTGCATGATGACATTCAGCTATATTACTTTCTATTGTGTAATGCAAGAAGTGTTATAAATTATGTACAACTAAAATGTGAACAAAATGTTATTGTAACAAAAATACTTGTAAAAAAAAACTTTAATTTATTAATTTTTTCTAAAAATTTTCTTTACTAAATCTATGAAATGGGTTGGGGTCAAAGTGTACATACCACGACCTTTTACTCAGTGTCATTCAACTTGGTATTATGTATTTGATGTCAGAGTGATCAACTATTCATTTTACCCTTCACTCCTAATTTAGTAACAGTTCATGGCAGAGCAGAGTAAATACCAGATACAGTATATAGGGATACTAAAAACAAAATGTAGATATGTATTTTGGAGGTTGTAGAGGTTAAGTAAATGCAATATGGAAGCTGTGCAATGGACAAAAGTATGCTTATTCCTCACATGAACATCAAAACTTGTCAGTCTCAGTCAGACTAATGCTGGAAATTTACAGATGTACCTTGATTATAAATACTTTTATAACACAATTTTTTTGTGTACAACAGACTTGTACATTTTCACTAAAAGTTTGCCACATTTTGACTAAATACAGAAAATCAAAACTACAGTCCACATTCCTTCTCCAATACAGGGTCAACTCACATTCAGTTAAACTGGTTTATTAGTATTACAGCCTACTCTTCAATATTAAACCAGAAAAAACTAAAACTTTTCTGAAAAAAATAATAAAATTTATGTTCAAAACTTATAGTTCAAATAAAAATAAAGTATAAAATATGAAAGTTTATATTTTTTAACTTTTCAAAGACAGGTTATAAAATAAATTATCACTATCAAATTAAAATTGATCTCTAATTATAATTAAA